GGAATATGTCAGTGTTAGGTCATATTTAAGTGACTGGACACTACGACCAACTAATGCCGCTAATAAGACGGTCAACCTGACCTAGCCGGCCCCATCACGGCGAGCAGCGAGCGATAACTCTGGATCAATGTCCACGACATCTATTCACTGGGTTTTCTCCCCTCGAACTCTGCCCAGCGAATGTCTCGCTCACAACACACCTAATTTGACCCCGTGACCCTGCGCAATCGTCGCAATTATCTCCCCTTGAAGACTGCCACACGATTACATCCCCTGAAATTGAATTTTCTGCCTTTAGAAATGTATGCGATAAAAATAACTGGACCACTATATGTAACTGGTGTCTCCGCTGCATTTATTTCCCTTGGTAGAGGAAAAATATTCACAAAATATATTGGCCGTTTTTTTGTAGAGCGAAATAGAATGTCAGTAAATGATGGGTTTATTTAGATTGAATTGAATGTTGTAAAAAACCTACAAGTCCGACGCCAGCGTTTGGTGTTGCTGAGGCTCTGTCACGTGGTGACCCGGATGGAAAGGTTACAATCTGTGACTGAATGGTGACAACTTTTGGGCTGTCACTTTTCTAAAGTTAAAGATAGGTTACATGCAAGTTCTGAATTTAGGGACAAGATGGGGGAAAATATGGTTTGCACCATGTCATCAGCTGAGCATATCTAGAGCATTCTACCACCCCCACCTCACGCCACTACTCTTCCACATACATTACTTCAACCAAGCACCTGTGTCGTCGTCTCCCCCCCCCCCCCCCACCCACCCACCCACCAATATTACGCCATTCAGGACCTTCGGTCAATAGATGCAGCATGGATTAACCTTTACTTAACATCACCAAATAATTTTTTTTTAGTTTTAAAAAAATCAAATCATAGACCTGTCCTCTGTCTTACACTTTCCACTATCGCTCACCTTGACCTTGCCAAAGACGTATCTGATGACTTTGACAATGCTTTTACAAATAATTCCAAAAAAAAGGAGGTCACGTGAATTTGTTTAGCTGACCTAGTTACTAGTTGACCTAGTTACTAGTGATAGACGAAAAACATGGAATTCTAAAACAGCACGAGCATAAAAGCCTTTAGAAAAACAAATGTTTGGTAATTAAATGTAGTTCAGGCAAGAAAAAGACAACATCTTCTCTCTGGACAGAATCTCAACAGCGCGGGTCGTTAGGGTGTATTCAAGATATTTCATGAACTACCATCCGGTCGACGGTCATGTTATTTTATTACTATAGTGACTTAGAAAATTTACCTCTAGATTTAAACATTTTAGATAGGGTTAATATAAAATACAAATGGATACTTAAGTTTTAAGAAACAATACATTAACAAAAAAAGTGTACGATAAATATTGAGCCGACTCTATGTCGCTAACATACGTATATTATCCCGTGTGAGATTTGTAAACTTATGTTAACACTAGATCTATCTCACCTGACTGATTTACTTATGTTAACATCACCTCACCTGACTGATTTACTTATGTTAACATCATCTCACCTGACTGATCGAGTGATCGCTTCACCCTAAAGCCTATCCCATCGCAGTCATTCAGCAATGATTACCTATGTATCTAGTAACTAGTTTAATATAATTAGGTTGATAATGATAAGTTTGCAGTGTGGGTTAAGGTGCACTAATCGAACAAGTTGAAGGATGTCGATGTATCAACAATTGTTATGATTGAGTTAAGATATTTTAGCACCAACTTGTAGGCAGACGACAGTTCACTGTGAAATACAAGGCTCGTATTTGTAAACAAAAAAAAAAAAACAGTGTGTCATCTACAGCCCCCCCCCACCAGCACCCCCCACCCCCCATTTCTATCGACCAGTAGGTGACCTGACGTCGTGCCCCACAGCCTCCGGACTTGGGAGACGCCGATGGCTGAAGTAAGTCTGGGTCCTACATGGAGAGCCACGAGCCACTCATTAGAACACAAGAGCCGACTGGGCCATGAGCCAGTCATTAACTGGGCCATGAGCCAGTCATTAACTGGGCCATGAGCCAGTCATTAACTGGGCCATGAGCCAGTCATTAACTGGGCCATGAGCCAGTCATTAACTGGGCCATGAGCCAGTCATTAGAACACAAGAGCCGACTGGGCCATGAGCCAGTCATTAGAATACAAGAGCCGACTGGGCCATGAGCCAGTCATTAGAATACAAGAGCCGACTGGGCCATGAGCCAGTCATTAGAATACAAGAGCCGACTGGGCCATGAGCCAGTCATTAGAATACAAGAGCCAACTGGGCCATGAGCCACTGACTAGATGGGCCATGAGCCAGTCATTAGCTGGGCCATGAGCCAGTCATTAGAAAAGAAGAGTCAACTGGGCCATGAGCCAGTCATTAGAAAAGAAGAGCCAACTGGGCCATGAGCCAGTCATTAGAATACAAGAGCCGACTGGGCCATTAGTGCGGCTCGTTACTACCCCGAACAATGGAGCCCTCCAACAGACAAAGCGACACCCCGGAGAACAAGACGAGAGCCCTTGAACACAGGGCCGCCCCTAATAAGGTCCCTCACTTGCTGCGGGCGTAGCTGACAGAGTCGGCTACTCAGACAGGAAGAGGGGGGTGGCGAGGGGAGGGGGGAGATCATAGCTCGCCGTGTTTCTTATTGAGAGCTTCTTACATTTTGAGAAAGGTCATCAGATTTTGGACGTGACGTCACAAGTGACGAGAATGATGGCGGTAATGTCGTCATACCGCAAGTATTAAGTCGGCTAAATTTAGTCCAGCGGATGTTGGTCGTTAGTCATGGTAGGTTGATGATGTTGGTAGCTAGTCTTGGTAGGGTGAGGATGTTGGTAGCTAGTCTTGGTAGGGTGAGGATGTTGGTAGTCGCGGTGATGTGAGACTTATCTGGTAGTGACCTCAACTCGACACCCATCATACAATAAACATCAGACAAACATCAGACAAACATCAGACAAACATCAGACAAACATCATACAAACATCAGACATCAGACAAACATTAGACAAACATCAGACAAACATCAGACAAACATCAGACAAACATCAGACAAACATTAGACAAACATCAGACAAACATCAGACAAACATCAGACAAACATCAGACAAACATCAGACAAACATCAGACAAACATCAGACAAACATCAGACAAACATCAGACAAACATCAGACAAACATCAGACAAACATCAGACAAACATCAGACAAACATCAGACAAACATCAGACAAACATCAGACAAACATCAGACTAACATCAGACAAACATCAGACAAACATCAGACTAACATCAGACAAACATCAGACAAACATCAAACTTTACCCATCACAGTAACAGACACCAGAACGATGAAAACCGTGGACTTTGGAGCATTCTATTAAATGTTATTTATATTATGCTTAACATAATCAATCTACATACTAAATATTTTTGGATGAATTATAAAAGTTACTGTGCGTATACAACCTACACACATTACATTACATTTTATTAATCCTAAGTTAAATTGCACTCTCTGAATATTTAATTAATACATACAAGTATTAACAAATTACATGCAAATTTATATTTGTGACTTTTATTCCTGTGACTTTTTTCCTGTGACTTTTTTTCCTGTGACTTTTTTTCTGTGATTTTTTTCCTGTTTTTTTTCCTGTGACTTTTTTTTCCTACAATCGAGATGGCACCAGCCTGACATAATAAACGACCATTTTTGCCGACCATTTTTGCCGACCATTAATAAAGATGACATTACAGATTAAAGTCGATTATTTTAACAATCGCCGGCCATTTTTTACGTCACTTCCGCCTTGTGTACACGCAATCACGGCAATGTATCACATTTTTCTCGTTCAACTCTCGGCCGCTGGATTAGTACGAGACCTTTTAAATCACGGCCTGACCCGCTGGAAATTTAATCAGAACCGTTACGTCATTATCGGGGGGAGTCACGTGACATGACGAACCTCTCAGTGACTACATTTACACCCCCCCCCCCCCCCAGAAAATGCAAGTCCATCTCTCATCGTTGCTGCCAGACTTCTGGCACCACGGCCCAACTGATCGCTTGACCCTGTGTCTGCCTCGATCTTGTCGGACATTTGTTAGACCAAAATCACAGCGACAGTTTACAGGAAGTGACGTCACACACCCTCCCCCTTCACTTCAGTCGTTGGTGTAGCGGTCCTCGTGTCTTGTCGGCGTGTCTGTGTGATGTCATCAAACGGCGTGGCTAGTGACGTATCAAGGCTATGGCGTCACGTATCCTAGCTTGGACATGAGGTCATTGACCCAGCCAGTCAATGCCCTGTCGATGCCCTGTCGATGCCCAGCCCTAAACAACAGCCTGACAAGCTGATGTGTCTCAAGGCATCGTCACGTGATTTGTTATGCGACACTGTCGGAGTCCGACAACAAAGCTGTCGGGGCGTGACGCGGTACTTCATAACAAAGTCGACGTCACGTGATTACAGGGCCCGTACAGGTCTCGGTGCCACGCCTTGCTAATCCCTCGTCGCCGTTGGAATAATCCGCTGTAATACACACCCCCGGGCGTGGGAGGGCCCGGCATGATCTATGGCCGGAATCTGCCGGCCCAGGATGAGGTTAGCCGTGTAATTATGTGCGGGTGTCCTCAGTGCCAGCCACGGTGAGGCCGACCATTCCCGTCAAACCTCGGGCGTCATGTTTTTTAGGTTGCTACCGGGCATTCCAATTATTTTAAAAAATGAACATCCGAATTTGATTAGCCATAGTTGCACACAATCTCAGAGTATTTCCCCGTCAGGGAACTAATGCTAGTTTACTCAGCTCAAAAAATGTCTTACACATCTCACACACCCCACGGGCGGGGGAAGGGGGGGGGGGGAAGGGGATCTCCCAACACTCACACCTACCGAACATGCAGTGCCCACACAACCCCCACACTCCCTCACAAAAAAATACACCTTACTGTGTCCCTGAATGTGGCCGATGACATTAAACGCTCGATAAATAGGGATGCAATCATCTTCAGAACTGTGGCCACCCACCGCCCCCAGTGGCCACCCACTGCCCCCTGTGGTCACCCACTGCCCCCTGTGGTCACCCACTGCCCCCTGTGGTCACCCACTGCCCCCTGTGGCCACCCACTGCCCCCTGTGGTCACCCACTGCCCCCTGTGGTCACCCACTGCCCCCTGTGGTCACCCACTGCCCCCTGTGGCCACCCACTGCCCCCTGTGGTCACCCACTGCCCCCTGTGGTCACCCACTGCCCCCTGTGGTCACCCACTGCCCCCTGTGGTCACCCACTGCCCCCTGTGGTCACCCACTGCCCCCTGTGGTCACCCACTGCCCCCTGTGGCCACCCACTGCCCCCTGTGGTCACCCACTGCCCCCTGTGGTCACCCACTGCCCCCTGTGGTCACCCACTGCCCCCTGTGGTCACCCACTGCACCCTGTGGTCACCCACTGCCCCCAGTGGTCACCCACTGCCCCCTGTGGCCACCCACTGCCCCCTGTGGTCACCCACTGCCCCCTGTGGTCACCCACTGCCCCCCTGTGGCCACCCACTGCCCCCTGTGGCCTACATGTAAGTACACCAACCCTGTACTAGCGATGGCACTGGTCAAGCGACTCGACCAGTCACCTAACAGATCACCACACGTTTACAGTACACTGACAGACGAGGTCTGGGTTCGAATCCGACGGGTCACAATTTACACCAGCGTAAACTGTGCCAACAAGTGATGATTTACACTCGTGTAAACGGAGCTAATGTGTTTGAAACAGCCTACTACAGGCTAACACTACCCACAAACCCAAAGTACATAGCGGTTCACCGCGCATGCGTGTTGACCATGTCACTCTCCATTGTTTATCTGTAGCAGACAGGAGACCTAACACAACTGACCCGATGTTTACCTGATGTATGGGGGTGGGTAGGGGGGCAGGAGTGACCACAGATTGAGGGGCGGGAGGCAGGAGTGACCAGAGAATAAGGGAGAAGGGCATGGGATGCCAAAGAATAGGGTAGGCATGATGGACCACCTAATGGGGTAGGAGGCAGGAATGAGGAAGTAAGTTGATGATCGTGCAGTTACTGTGAGTACAATCTAATGACACACATTAATTCGAGCAACTAAAAAATGCACGTTAAAAACCCTGAAACAATTCCATTAAAAGAATTAGAATTTCACCTGCCCATAAAGCACACGTGACAGGAAGCGAGCTGAACCCCGCCATTTTAAAAACATGAGCACCAGCTGACCTGGATGTTTGATGTCCACATTTGGTTCGGTCCGTGCAGTTTTTATCAGCCCTCGAGGTCATCGACCCCGGAGATTATACAACCGGTGATTTCAATTGTGTCCGACCTGCGTCTCATGCTGTGTTGGGTGGGGGGGGGGGGGGGGTAAATGTCTGATGTGCTGTCAGCCAGTCTGTGTGTCCGTCGGTGTGTCCGTCTTTTATTTGAAGTCAAGCAGCGTATGATGTGTGAACGTTGGTGATGTCTTACAGTTTAGTGATGTCTACCACATTAGTGCAAATGAATTAATATAAAAAGGACTTCATGCCCCCCCCCCCCATGAATCAGGTCTGACCCCCCCCCCCAAATGAATCAGGACTGACCCCGTGTTGAGGGTACAGCCCCCCCCCCCCTGGTCCCCGTGTCCGGCACACAAACAGAGCGTGACGTGTTTACCCAAACAATCAGTCAAGCGTGGCTCTCTCAGAGGTCCACGTGTTTATTGCACTCGGCCACACGGCATTTCTCGCGCTAAATTATCTGCTCTTTGTCTCGTGTTATCTGCCCTTTCTTCTCAGATAAATTATCTACCGTCTTCCCCCAGATGCTGACGCTATGTTGAGCGACTTGTGGCCAACAAAATGATGGCCGAGAGAAGAGGGTCTGGATACATTTTGTTGGCCACTTTCTCTCGTGTACGTACTCTGGTGCACTGGGTTTGTGTACACTAATGTACACTTGTTTAAACTTGTGTACCGTGTATTTTGTGTTGTGTCACTTATGTTCTCCTATAATTTTGTCCACGTTAAGACAGAAGTGTGACATTTGGCACCATAAATTAGATACGTGCTATGCTGTCAGCTGACCATTGTCCACTAGACTTGACATCAAGCGTCCAGTGGGGTTTTTTATATTAGAAATGTTTGGCTAAACAAATATTGACCATAGCATTGACATCACAAGGCCAAGGATAATTATCGTAGGCAGGCTTAAACAAATTCAATAAAAAATCACCCCCCCCCCCCACACACACACACGCACAATTTCTAAAAGAAGTAGAAGTTAAAAAGGGAAGAACCATTGGTCAGCAACTGCAGGTCATAAGATCATATTTAATCATCATCCAATTATCATTGTTGAGCAGACGATGACATACGATGACGTGTTAGTTTTTATGGCGCCTGAAATAAAAGTGCAGGCCTTTGTGCGGGGGGCCTGCAGACGTGTACTAAATAACCTCGCTCATTACAGGCGGCGTTAAGGGGGGGATCACCCGCCATCAGGCCGCTCCCCCGGGCCACATTACCGTCAGGAGAAGTCACTCACTGGGGCCTTGTTTACATTCAAACATGCTTCACTCCCCTTTTTGGATGCCCGTTTTATGGCCCTCGGCTCACATGGCCCGTAAAACAGAGCCAGTCAGCTGGTACAGTTGTTGGCCTGACAATAATTCCATCAACATTATTGTAGGGGTGCGTCGTTCCTAAATCTAATTACTGAAACCGATAAATACAGAACCAAATAGCATACATATATATATGTCCAGCAGTGATGCAGTCAGTAGAATATGTCAGTATACAGAAATCTAGCTTTAAAAAGATAACATACAGAATACATATGTGTCCGCTGTAAATGAACAAAAAATAGAAAACATTCGTTTGTGTCAGTTAATAGCCATCTTGTGGTAAATAAAAAAAAACATTTTATTATTTTGCACCAAATGACGCCCCAAAAATATTTGAGCCGCAGTTCGATTGCATTAATTTACACGCCAATGTTGAAATTCCTTTGGGCAATTTACTTTAGAAAAACCTCCCAATTTTTACACGATTCTAGAAGCGATTAGAAGCAGAGAATCTTACATTTCAATTACATGCTGTAAGAGGTCAGGGCGAATACATTGGTCGATATGTACACATATCTGTTTCTTGTTTTCGTTCGTTGTCACGTACACATATATTTTGTTGACCTGTACACATCTGGTCAGTGTGTTGACCTTTACACATCTGGTCAGTGTGTTGATCTGTAAACATCTGGTCAGTGTGTTGACCTTTACACATCTGGTCAGTGTGTTGACCTGTACACATCTGGTCAGTGTGTTGACCTGTAAACATCTGGTCAGTGTGTTGACCTTTACTCATCTGGTCAGTGTGTTGACCTGTAAACATCTGGTCAGTGTGTTGACCTGTAAACATCTGGTCAGTGTGTTGACCTTTACACATCTGGTCAGTGTGTTGACCTGTACACATCTGGTCAGTGTGTTGACCTTTACACATCTGGTCAGTGTGTTGACCTGTACACATCTGGTCAGTGTGTTGACCTTTACACATCTGGTCAGTGTGTTGACCTGTAAACATCTGGTCAGTGTGTTGACCTTTACACATCTGGTCAGTGTGTTGACCTGTAAACATCTGGTCAGTGTGTTGACCTTTACACATCTGGTCAGTGTGTTGACCTGTACACATCTGGTCAGTGTGTTGACCTGTAAACATCTGGTCAGTGTGTTGACCTGTACACATCTGGTCAGTGTGTTGACCTTTACACATCTGGTCAGTGTGTTGACCTGTACACATCTCGACATGGTGTATATTCTGATAGCTTAAGTGAACAAGATTATTCGGTCCTGTTGTTCTAAATATAGCCGTCACGTGAACACACAGGTGGGCAATACCTGACCACCCAGATACGTGACGTCACTGAAAGAAATGTTTTATTGTCACATATGAAGGTCACCAACACATAAAACACATGCGTCATGGCACACACATAGATGACACCGACACACAGACAGACATAAGAACAAAAGCCACTTGAAAGGCTTCCTATATTTGAAAACATGGCCTTTGTTGTAATGTAACAAGACTTGTGATTGGTCAATAAATACATCGACCTACAACAAACGTTTATCACCGTCGATAAAAAAGCTTTTGTTCTGTTTGAGATCAGTCTGGGATGAAATATACAATAAGGTCACCCCACCCCCTCACCCCCCACTCCCCCCCCCTCATCCCCTCATTCTCCAATTCCATTGTATTTTATTCAACATGTTTTTTTTAAAATTTAATTTGTAATATTCAAGTCTTGGAAGCAGGTAAAGTAGAGTTCATCTCCTGTCAAAGAGCTATGATTAAGGTCTTACAAAGCCACCGGACAACCCAGGCACCTGCAGAGTTTCTTCCACGCATCTCTTCGGGGGGGGGGGGGGTGGGCGAAGAAAGTCTACCGCCCCCCGAACGAAATGGAATGTATATAGGAAATATATACTTTTGACAGTGTCCGCCCCCCCCCCCCCCCCCCGAAAATTTCAAGTGCACCCCCGGAGAAAAAAGTCTGGAAGAAACACTGGGCACCAGCTTAGGTACCAATTACCCCCCCCCCCCGCCCTCTTTCTACAGGCTCCGCCTGCCTGCCTTACAGTAAAGTCGAGTTGTATAACGGGATTTGTTTAGCTCCTGGGACTTGTTTCGTACTTTTAGCTCCCGTGACTTGTTTCGTACTTTTAGCTCCTGGGACTTGTTTGTACTGTGATTAGCACCAAACCAACATAAATCCAAATGCACAGTAAACAGCCCACGTGATGATGCATGTTCTCCCACCAACGGTGTGTTAGATGTAAATATCATGTCATGTCCACCCCTCCCCCCCCCCCCCCCCAGCCCAACCCCACCCATACTTTCGCCCCAGGCTCAGCTAAAAAAGCAGCCCACTCCATCCAACCACCGTGTCCTAGTTTCATAAAGCATTGATTCTTTCAAATTTCATCTGTCATTAAGACCCCAATTAGTTGTCTTCCCGCAGTCACCTCCCCTGTCTCCAGCAGGGTAGCGGCCCCTGGATCCACTTCCTTCCTGCCCCCGCCCCTGGACCAACCCAGACCTCTTGTTTTTCTTTCATGATTTCAAATTAGTAAAAACTAGACCACTGCCGGCCTGCTAATGACGTTTAATTGTTAAGCAAATTGGGGAATGAGAGAGTGCGTGTTCACTACGCTCATGCGGGGGGGCTAAAAGTTAGTGGGGGGGGGGGGGGGACACTGAATGCTAGATTGGGGGGGGGGAGGCTGTAATGGATAGCACGCCTAATGGACAACCTTTGTTTCTCTGTTTAATTACTGACCAGGGGCCAATGTGGAGGGTGGCCGGCCAATGTGGAGGGTGGCCGGCCAATTTGATGAACAAACATGCGCGTGCAGAGACGTGTTTGTTGAATATGATTTAATCTGACAGGATTTGAACCGTCTTTCTGCCTTGGGTGGGGGGGGGGGGGGGGTGCGATTCAATGTTTTGTAAAGTTTGGGGAGCCTGACACAACTGGCGCCCTTTTGAACTGTTTTTATGAGCATCATCC